AGGTTGGATGGGGCTTTGAGCAACCTGATCATGGCAGGGGGGTTGGACTAGAAGATCTTTAAAGGTCCCTTGCAACCCAAGCCAAGATCTACACAATCCCTCTTTCTAGAACAAAAAGCCCAAATCTCTTCAAGTAGAAGAAATTCTATGTTTGGCTTTAGCAGCAAATATGCTGTTTCTGACTCATACTTGCTCCACCAAAAAAAAAAATCCAAAGGCAATGGGGATTATACTCAGGAAACATTTCCTGGAGGTGTGCAGAAGTCCCTGCCCCTCTCCTTGGCTGCTCTTTCAATTCAACAGCTCAGAGACTAGGACAATTACTTTATCCTCTTTTTTCAACTATGAACGGTCTCACATTCTGCCTTGCAGTAAAATGTTTCAAGCATGGGCACTTCAACAGAGAAGTCTGAGAGCACCTCAGAGTTTTGTAATTATGGTCCTCTTCTGAGACATGGGAGATGGTCCTTCGGGAAGAGAGAGGGATCCAAATTCAGATCTCTCAAATTCCGAATGAGTGCTCTTCTCATTCCCTTCTGAAATGCAAACCCCATCTTTTCTCCTCCTCATTCTCCCATCTGGCAGACCTAGTCCTGAAATCGAGAGCCATCATTGTCTTGCCTCTGCCCTGACCTGAAACTCTTGAGTGAGGGTAGAAAGTAATTTGATTTTTTGCCATTACTCCCATTCTTCTCTACAAAGTCAGAAAACAGAAAGAAGTAAACATAAGAATGTCAGCAAGAAATAAAATAACAGAAATTACACAAATTTACTGAGACTGAATGGGTACAGCCGCTCCTTAAGGCATTTAATTAGCAAGCCAATGTCTAATACACATTATAAACAGTGGGCCATCCATCAAAGCACACACCACACAGCAGGCTTTCAGAATAAAATGCTACTGTAGTAAGAAATTATCCTCACACAATTGTCTTGTGGTTTTGACTCCTGCTGGGATAATATCTAGATCAATAATAGAGGAATTTTCAAAAACTACATTAAAGCCATAAAAGGCTATTCATAACAGAAGAAATCCAGAAATATATTAATAGAGCAAGCCATCTCCCTAAGACTCAGGCACAAAATGAATGTGTTAGGAAAGCAAATGTAGTATTCAGGGAAAGGAAGGGAAAAGGTGATTCACCAAAACCATTCAGTGAAACAGTCTGGCTTTTTCTTTACATTTAAAGTAGTTTGGTAAGAGATAATCACTTATAAACACCAGTATTAGAGGATCATTACAGGTAATAGCCCAACTATACAGACTAGAACAACTACACCTCTCCAATTACATCTGTTCTAACATTACATTCACAAAAAATTGGTGAAAACAGAAGTTCTTTACATAAAGGAAAAGGTCAGAGCAGTAAAATGCCTGTAATTTACCTGAAAGATCTTTAAGGAAGAAAATGTCAACTGTCTTATGAATACCTGACATGAATAAACAGCACAGCATCAGGGAAATACATTGAGACAGCATCATCTAAGTATCTGAACTCTAATTAGCCAAGAGCCCTGCAGAGCAACAGCAGCGAAATCTAAAATTAAGGGCAGATATTACCGTACATTAAAGAGTGTGGGTTTGGTTTGGTTTTTTTTTCCAGTCTTCCCCCCCAGCTTTTCCCTATTGTGTCACATGTCTCTGCAAGCCAGGAAGGAGGAAAGGGATTCCCCTTGATACCGGGGAACAGAAGTCACCAATAAATCAGGAAAGTCTGTATTCAAGGTTGGAGAACTGGCTACAAAGAAACCGTGATTTTTGTCAGATGAAAGGATGAGCATCACCTCCAAAGAGAGCCCTAACAGGTACTGGGATATGGAAGCATGTCTCAAAAGATACAGGGAAAGCTCAGCACATCAAACACTGAAAATGAGGCTGGAATATACTGTGAAGTCCCCCCTCACATTGGCAGGTAAATGGCCTGGTTAACCTACAGTACCTTTCTTATTTTTCAATGATACATAATCTCTCATTACAACATGCCAAAGAAACGTCCTGAGAGGCCTCATCACTTCCTAAAACAAACCATCAGAGTTAAAAGATGGAGCCTAGTAGGTGTTTCTAAATTAACACCATACAGTCCATTGACCAGCAAGAAACATGGAGATGAGGAGTTTAATGTGTGCCTGTTACCTGTGCTGACCAAGGTGATGTTTGCTCTGTGGACTGCAGTGAATCACTCTGGTTTTACAAGAGAAAATATGTCTTGTCTTTGTGATTTTCCAAAATTAAAGAAATTCAATCCCTTTTTCTAGAATGTGTACATAAACACATGCTGAAAGTTAAGAACCTCTTTAAATGTTGTCCAGAGGAGGAAAGGATTTCAGCATGGATCTAGGTACTTCTGGGCTTGAAATCCTCCTAGCTACTAGGAGTGATTTTCAAACCCCTCTTGCCAAAAGACAGTAACAGCAGCAGAGGTACGAGTTAGCGGGACTGAGTCATATTTGTTCTCATACAGCAGTAATCCTCTTGCCTGGTCCTTGCTACAACCCCAGTTCCAAATCACTCTGCAGCACCCCAGCACCACGTGCTCCCTTGCATTGAACCAAACCAGACGCAGGGAGACGGAGCAGTGCTCCTGCCCCTAGTTATGTTGAGATCATCCATCAAAAAGTGCTAAAAAACTTCCTAGAAGACCCTCAAAGGAGCAGAATCATTATATAATTAAAATAAATCTAAACAAAAAAGTCTTGTAAATTTTAGGGGTTAAAGAGAAAAAAGGATCTTAAATTTCAAGTGACGTTATGCAATCAGGCCAAGATTGTTTAATTTACCACATGCTGGGTAATAGCCTGAGAAGACTCCATGTTTCCAGAGCTAAAATAGGCTCTTTATTAACAGGGTGATTTGCAGAGAGGCTGTGGGCAGAGCTGGCATTCAAGCCATTCAGCTCCCCAGAGCATCCTCCAGACACTTCCTTCCTGTGGTGTGCAGTCCTCTTTCCAAGCTCTATTTAGGTTACTACAAAGACTTTTAACAGGTGAGAAGTTAAAGCTAAAGGAGTCCAAAGTGCAGACTGTCATGAGACTGACAACAGAAACAGAGGGTCAAGGAAAACCTCACGTAAGAACATGATGTGAGAAGACTTTGACGTATGTCAAAGCTGAGTGGGAGAGAAGTTATTCAGGGTTCTCTGAGATGCTCAACTTCACTGTATGGCCAAGTTTGTTATGGATTTCTGATTCTGCAAGAAAAGAAAACCACCAGCTATACAAGTAAAAGGTCTGTTAAGAGAACACAAGGAGAAGAGAAGAAGGTCTGAAAGTGCCATGATCCCAATCTGGTCTCAGGACTTTCAAAAGATCCTTCATCCCGCCCATCCAGAAACGTCCAGAGGATCTGCTGTTTGATACACCCTCGGGGCACAGTGACGGCTTTACACCCACAAACCTTCCTGTGTTTTGTGATCACAGCACAAGCTAGGGGCCAAAATTGACTCTCACACATATGGAGACCTCGGACCAGCAACTGGAGAGTAGCAGGGTATGGGGTTATCTAGCATTTACCCCAACCACTCAGCTTTTCTCCCAAATAAACGTCTCATATTCGGAGCCGTGGGTGTTTGCCGTTCGATCTCTGTACACTCAGTAGTAACAGCAGCTCTACATGCCTCAGAAACCTCTATGGGTTTGAAGAAGACCTGACATACCCAAGGACTAGTTTATAGGCATTTGTTCGTAACAAAGGGTTTAATCTGGAGCTTGGTGAGGAATGGGGCAGAGAACCAAATTTCTTAGTGAAAGCAGGCTTCAACATCTGGTTTAATCTAGTTTCTGAACAGCTATTTGAACAATATTAATATTACCTCTGAAAAGTAAGAGCAACTCTGCACCATATTCTGCCAGAAGAAGGTCTCGATGGAGAGCTATATCTTGAAATGGTCACTCTAATCAGAGGATGCATTAAAATCAAGCAATTGTATTTCAAAATTAAAACATTCTAGGGAACTAAAAAAAAAAAGGGCACTTTCACAGCTCTTCCCTCTAATGAACTTCTCCAGATTTTAGAATGCGTTCAGGCCAATTTTCTAAGTAGCTACGTTTTTAAATGCATTTCATCTCTGTTTGTATAAAAGAGTCATTACATTAGTCCATAGAAGATCATAAAATTCTTTCATTCTGTGCCATAAATTTTTAGTTTCTGTCATTGTCTGACATTTGGCGTATGTGCTGGCAAATGATACAGCATTATTCATTCACTGTTCACCTTGTGTTTGCACAACTGTTACAAAAGAAGACATTCAACTTCTGCTAAAAGGCTTGCTAAAGAAATGACTTAAATGGCACAGATCAAAAATAATTAGAACAAAGTCCTGCATCTTTACTCTGGCAAAATTTGTAATAAAATCCACGAAAATCCCTGTGGATTAGGAGCCAGAATTCAAAAGCCATATATAGTTAATGGAAAGATCTTCATGGGCTCCAGCAGGGCTTGGATCCAGACTCTTCCCTTTAAGTATTTTAGAAATGAGCTGCAGGTAACCAATAAGGAAACCACGTTTAGTAAAACAGAAAGCAAGATTCAGGACTTGTTCTCCACAATAAAAGGACCTTTTCATGTTGAGGCTACAGATCTTAGACTTCAACTTCTTTAATCTTAGTTCATGCAAACAGTACCTTTGCATTCAGATACCTCTGTACTGTGCTCCTTGTGGCTGGAGGGTAAACGTCTGAATTTGCGTCTATGCTCCACGCCTGCTGGTGTTGCTTTTTCAAATACTTCGGATCGAAAACTTTGTGAGCGCGACACAGAGATCTCAAACTGCTTAATCACCTCATCATTGCTGCCTGAAGATGCTGTCTGCTCTTCATCCTCCCTGTAACTGTTTACTGGGAGAAAAACATAACTCGGGCTTTAGACAGTCTGCTGCCCTTGGCCAAGAAGCCAGATGACAAAGCACACTTCTAGCACTCAGATGGACCTTCTGGAGAGAAAAAGGGAACCAAGGGCTTAGGGGAGGATCGGGGAATGAACTTGATCATCACCTGCTTCTTCAAACCTCTGGAAAGCCTGTGAATGTCATATTGTATCAACAACATTTACATATTATTAGACCTTGCCCAACACTGCACGCTACCCTATTTAAAAAAAAAAAAAAAAAAAAAAAAAAAAGGTATTTAACAGAGCAGAACACAAAGTAACACACATAGTGAACCACTTGTAAAATCATTAGCATGTGCAAAGACAAAGTAGTAAGCAAAGGACTTGAAAAATTTGTCATGTTTTCATTCCCCTGCAGCTCTGATAAGGTGTAGAGGGAACTTCTTTTGTGCAGAAAAAGCAACTCAGACGTAGTCCACCCTGGGTAATATCATGAACACATAAATACAGCACGTGGCTAACAGGCACTGCTGACTCCATCTGCCAGCAGCAGCAGAGGAACTCAGGACACCAATGTAAACTGTAACCTTTAAAAGTGAAAACACACATTTGAGCACGTCCCCATGAGTGCCCTTCCCCTCCTGCTACCAAAACGTGCTTTGAATCTGAGATGACTGTACCCTCATTAGCGCGTGAATATCTGCCAGATGGGGAAGGAGGGTTCAATACACACTGTATATACTTGGCCTGGCTTTGTCAGGGTGAAAACACAGAGGCATTTTGCTGATATCCCTGCCATCAGCATCAAGCAAGCACAACAGCAGGACGTTTTGACCCACCAACATACACAGAGAAGGGAGCGGTGGGGACGACAGCCAGTTGGTGTGTACGTGCATGTTTGCATAGACACGTGTGAACAAGCCAGCTGTCAAGTGTGGTCAGTCCACTGCTTGCTTTTGAGCATGAAGCATATGATATGGTTGCCAAGACTCGCTTTGATAATCGCCATGGCAAACCCGAGCAGCTGAACAAATGGGCATTGCAGACAAACGGGTGGAGGGCAGCTTTCCCAGTGACACTGCCTGGCTTGGGAGGGAAAGCACCTTTTTCCACCTCAAATCTCACATCAACCACACAGCTACAGGTGGGGAAATCGGATCCTGCTTTTACACACTGTGTTAGGTCTACTAAAAATGTGCAGTATAAACTTAATGACAACTAACTGCTGTCACTGCTCCATAAATTTACCTGCTGCTGCACAGAAGACGGCACTCAGCTCCTTGGGCAGAGAGGACCAAGCAAAGAAGCTGGCAGTATCAAAGCAAACTGCTCCCACCACCAGCCCAGCCAAACCTGGCTTCTTCCATGCTGCCACACTGGTAGATTTGACCCTCTGGTCTGATTTGCCACAGTTTGACAATAAGCCTTCTATTCCTTCTAGAAAATTGCTGTCAATTGGAGGAAAAATCTAAGTGCTCCTATTCTGATAAAAATGAAAAAGGTTTTAGACATTAGTTTGTAAATGGTCAGTGACCAGCTATCATAAAAATTGATTACTTTCATGGAAGCTGTTAAAAATAATGTCTTTGAAATTTCTTTAAATAAAAATTATTTCAAGCTGTAACAAACCTATGGCCTAAATGTGCTATGATGTATCAAAATATTTGAAACACACAGAAATAAACATTCATTTTCAGCCAACTGTGTTGTCAATTCACTACCTGCAGCTCATGCAACCTCTACAAAATTAATTTAAATGCTTGGCAAATGCTGGTAAGTTCTATTTATACGTGTACATCTTTTGAGGTATTTAAGATAAAAAATAAAAATTATTCCAGTTTAACCAAAAAGTTCACTTTTCACTCAAACAGTTTGCCAAAAATCCTGAGTAAAATACTATCTTTAGTAATTAAGTGACATCTTTCACCATTTTCTAAAACAACGGTAACAGTAAAATCCTGGGTCCATGGGCATGAGGCTGTATACTTAAACGAAAGTGCATTAATGTACATATCTGGTCATTACAAGGCAGCACTCTTGGACTCCTCCTGTAAGGGCATTCCCTGGGTGACCTGCATGCAACTCCCTGCAAAACAGAGCAGAGCCCTTTTTCTAAGACAGAAGGGGAAGGATGAAGGGATGGAGGGAGGAGTTTGGCCCACTTTGATATATTACTGGCCACTTGACTTTGACTCCAACATTACCAATCCCCAAAGCATGACTGCATCACTTGTTACGACACTGGATGCTATTTCTTACCAGCATTTGGAAGCATACAGGCTAATTAGACAGTGGCACTGAGGAATCTGTAGCAAATGCTGGATACGCTGCCACTGCCGCTGAATCTCTGCCTGAGCAGCAGACAGCTTCATGTCAACTTCATTTCTCAGTATTAATAAAAGTAACTTTACCCAGGGGAGAGAAAAATGTTCACCATTCAAATATACAAGTGTCCTGATTAGAAAAGGACAAGGGGGGAACATTTTCTGTATCACCATGGAAACTTAAATAAAGGACCCATAATTACAATCTAAATTCTGGAAAGATAATGAATACATCTTGAAATCTGCAGATGTTATGTAGCATATACATATTTCTAGCAACTTCAACTCAATTACTTCTATGCAGCATCTGTTTTACAAATCAACTTCCCACCACTCATAAGGAGGCATGTGGGATTTACTTTTTTTTTTTCCCCCAGAGGAGACAGTGGGGGAGGAAGGAGGGTGACCTCTTTTTTCTGGCAAGGTATTTCAAACCACCACTATTTATTCATAAATTTCAAATACCCAATCAGCTACAAAGTTAGCTTACAGGCATCCAAATACACTAAGCTAAAATGCATGAAATAAATAATTCAAGAATTTTTGCAGTGTTACCAAGTATATAGAATAACTTATACTTTGCTCAAAGATTATCTAAGAAAAAAAATTACCAAATAAAATACATAGTGTAGGTGTAAAATACAGAGGTACTGCACGCACCCTGGCTGCCAGCATGTTAAAAAAAAATCGACAACAAACAACGATCATTTTGGCTGAACAATGAAAATTTTGCAAATGCCAAATTTCTGCTTTCCTATACATTTAATGCTGCCCTTGTGTGCCCACTTTCTTCTTAAAGATTTTGATTCTGCTTTACGGAAGTCAGTGAGAGTTTCAATGGGAGCATCACCAAGCCCTGAAAGAAGCAGAAGTACTATACCAAAAAAAATTTATTTGATCGTATAACCAAAGACAATATCAGTACATCTATGCATAATGCACATACTCGGAGGATCTCGGAAGCGCTCTGTGCCATGTTCTTTGCTGTTATAGAAGCAGTAACATAGCCCTGGCCTTAAAATTTTCATGATCAGGAAGACATAAAGAAACAATGATCTGCAACAGCTCCTAACTCAGCAAAACCCGTAATTGCACGCAGAAAGGAAAGCGTTTTTCTTTCAGAAAACTGGAAAGGTCTGCTGCAAACATGGAAATTGTTACAGCTTCTCAGAAAAAAAGGACCATTTTGTAAAAGGAACATGCAGCAACACAGGTGGAGTTGCTACTACCAATTCCTATGCAACTACAGCTCTTATTTGCACTGTCTTCAATCTGGAGTCTTCCTCTCGTTGATGCTGTCAACCATTTGAACTGGGAGTTCAACAAGAAGTACAAAGAAATGCAATTACCTGATTTATGGGCTTGACTAAGGAGGAGAGCACCCCATAGCTTCATTTATGCTCAAAACTATTTGGAGATAAAATCTGATCACAAGCTTTCTTTCGGTGATCAAAACCAGAAACAAAATCCGAAACACCCACCTAGACCTCAAATGTATTTAAAATTCATGGAGAACACGCTGTGATACAGTAAGCCCATGCTTCTACATACGCCATCATGGACAAAGAGATTGTGCACAGGGACCATGCACCATTGACTAACACCGACTGGTTGTTTGCTAACAAATGGAAGGCAGCCTTCAGCTGGGCTTCCTCCTTGCACCCACACCTATGTATCCTTGTCCCTTTCTAGTAGGTACACCAACCAGAGAACCATTTGGTGCACAGTGTTAAAGGTAAGGTCCACCCCTCTTTGCCAAGTGTCAAGTGACAGTGTCCTGCTTTTGCAACGTGACAATCTCTACCTCTTCACCTGTCCTCAACCCATGACCAAACCAATTGGGAAGCTCTCCAAGGCGAACACTTTTGGGTGTTTGCGTGCAATGCAGGCAGAGAGAATTACAACTTGGCAGCTTTCATACCCCGGCACATTTCCAGCGAAAAGGAAAAAAAAAGCAAACAAAAAAGCCAGAGGGTAATGAGAAACTAGACACTATTTGGCTCTGACCATCAGGCACCTCTATAGCTGAACAATACAACAGTCAGAGGAGTAAACTCCAATTCTGCACACTGCTGTGCAAAGAAATAGAGACCTGCCCACAGAAAACAGCATGAAAATCAACATATTTTCCTGTTGCTTTTTTCCTACTCCTGAATTTGGATTTAAAAATAGGAACATGGGATTCAGCTTCAAACCGACTCTCACTCTGCTGCCTAAGGTTCTTCCATAGCTAAAGGAAATGGCAGCCAAGAAGCAGAAGCACAATCTTCCCTGATTTTCCCAATCACCTACTTTACATTTTACATGTGGAGTACGCATGAGTCAGCCTTGATTTATGCTACTGGGTTTTATTAGCGCAGGCCTGGGATTTGTGGAGAAGTGAAAGAAAAAAAGAGATTACACACTGCAGGAGACACTGCTAAGCCAGGAAAACCCCTGGTGTGGATGCAGTTACATCCATGAGTCAGCCTAGACCCCTTTGCCAGCCCAGGTTAGGTTGCTTGAAGAAAACATGCAGCTGCAGAGGCAGAAAAGCACCTTCTGTCAGCAGATGCCGCATCTATGCTGGGTACACTCCAGGGCACAGGTGTAGCTGTGTATGCTCTGGGGTGTGGGGCTGTAAATGCTCATGGACTCGGAAACTAAACAAACTGCTGGATCCCAACGGCCGACGAGTTAGAAAA